TCACATGTAGGACAGATCAGTGGTCTCCAACCTTTTGACACCCACGATCACTTTTTAAATTGTCAGAACAAGCCAAGATCTACCGCCCCATCCTTCCCTGAAGACTCCACCCCTTCCTTGAAGCCCCGCTGTCTTTATTCTCCTCTCCATCACTTGCTATCCCCAGTCCTTATACACTCTACACTGCCACTTTTTTTCTGATTCTTCTGTAGGAAGAGGTTTTTCCAACATTTGGCCTGTCTAGATTGGTCCAAATGTCAGAAAAACCCCTTCTTTCGGAAGCCCCCTTGTGGAATGAGGAATACAGGGGTTACCGAAAGAGCATGTTTGCTCTTCCACTAAAAAAAACAGAAGAACAAACACATCCCTGGATGCAGAAGAGTTTTTCTGGGATATCTCTGGAATCCAGAAAAACTCCTGCAGTCTGACCATACCCTTGCTAGGTTGAGGCAGGATGTGTAAGCTCTGGGGTGGGAATGAGGGATTTGGGTGTGGGAAGGGGTGAGAGGTGCAAGTTCTGGGAGGGAATTTAGATGCTGGAGGAGGTGGAGAAGGGGACGCTGGCTTGGGGAGGAGGCTCCAGGCTGAGGAGTGTTGAGGTCAGGTGGAGCATTGGGGTGCTGAGCAAGCCACATGCTTGTGGATGTGAGGGTGCAGGAGTTTGGGTTGGGGTATGTGAGGGGCTCAGGGCAAGGGGGGGTCGGTGTATGATAGGCTCAGATCTAGGATCTGGGGTGGAGGTGTGCAGGAGCGTTCTGTTGTTGCGGCCAGATGGAGGCTTGGCCCCAGTTGGGGGTTTGTTGTCCAGGCTTCATTTTGAACTAAAATACTATGTCAAACACAAAAAGTTTCTGCCTTGTCTTTATTTATAAGAAGGGCAGGGAACCTGTTTTGAGTCAGGGGTCACTGACCCACAAAAAGGTCAGTTGTGGCCACACAAGTGAGATGCAAAGAAACAACTCCTCAAACCCCACCCCAAGCCTCACTAATGTGGCCCCAACTGCGCTGGTGCGAGCAGGGAACATGGTACTGGGGAAGGGTGTTAGTGGGTGTGGACGCCAGTGGGAGCAGGGGACAGGGTCTTGCTGGGGGCAGGGGACAAGGAGGGCCCCGCACCCGCCTCCTCCTGGGACTCCTACCCCCCTTTCCCCCCGCAGAGGAGGGAAGCCCTCCCCCCTCCCCCCGCAAGTTCCCGGCACGCCACAAACCTGGGGGGAAGGGAGCAGCCAGCACATTTCCGGGACCCCCGGAAGTGGCGCGCAGCTGCAGGACTTCCTTCCACCCCACAGGAAGCCGGTACTACCTCCATTTTCGCTGGAGGTAGGTAGTGGGGTTTCTTGGGGGTGGGGGGAAACGGGGGAGTCCCCGAACACCTCACGATCGACAGGTTGGTGACCATGGGGATAGATTGTGCAGTTCTCGTTCCATCATCTGAGCCCATATTTAGGACCGGACCCAGGAGTTAGACACGCAAACACTTTCTTAGGCCAAGTCTATCCTGGCACTTTACAGAGCAGTAACTTTCTGGCTCAGGGGTGTGGAAAAAAAAAACCACACTCCTCTCCCTGCACCAAGCACAGCAAGTCACAGCACTATGAAGCGCCAATGTGATCTAGGGATGTAAAATCCCATTTAACTGGTGGGTGTGTGATGTGGGGGGCCGCCATTGGGCTGGAGCAGCCACCCCCTCACTACAAGCAGGGGCTACTCCAGACCAACAAGAACAGTCCTGTCAGCATCCGGGCCTGAGCCAGCCGGTCTGCAGCAGGTAGGGAGCTACTCCAGTCTCCACCCATTAATTGCTTAAACCTTCACATCCCTAGCGTGAACCAGGCTACAGCACTGGGATCCACATTCCTAGCACTGTTAACTACTCGCCTCATGGAGGTGGTTTATAGGGAGATCTCTCTCCCAGCGTTCATGCTGTAGCCACACTTTTCTGTTTAAGGCGCTGCCGCTTTGGATACATAGAACTTAAGGCCAATAGGGACGATTCAGTCTTCCCTCCTGTGCATCACAGCCAATAAATTTCACCCGGTTACCCCTGTATTGAGCCCAATAACTTGGGTCTAACTAAAGGTGATCTTTCATATTTCCACCTTAATGCCGGCAGAAATATTTTAAAGGTGTATTCAAGCATATATTATAAAGCAGTATGTACTATGTGTTACTTAACTACAATTTTACAACTCAATATAACCAGTTTTTAGATTGGATTTTGACCTTCCCCTGCAATGGGGAAATACATAAGTTGACTAAAAACCAAAGCAGACTACTCTATTTGTATTGTGCAAGCTCCATCTAGAATGGTAAACCATGTAAACAAGCAGCATTATAATAGATCAATGTTAGGCACTGTACAAGAAGAGATGGACTCCACCCTCTAAGAGATTAATCTACATTCAAGGTTTATAACCTAGCTGTAAAACAAACACACGTAAAAATTGGACAAAACAGAAGCTTTGAAAACTCTGGAAGGTTTTTTTAGTTCCGGTGGATTACTGCTTTGTGGAAATTAGTGCCTAGTTCCCACAATGATGTGTGCACTAGAAACACAGAAACAGTCGAAAGATTAAAAAAACCTGGGAGTTGGGCATTTCTGGTAGAAACTTCATGTTTAAAATCTCGTTATGACTTTCTCCTGGGGTTCAGCAAGCGCCCCCAACAATGGCACACAGGGATGGGGATAGGACAGTATCAAACTGAGGGTGGGGATGCCATGTGTTAATTTTTTTGATTGGAATGGCCAGTCCAAAGGGGATCCTGGTGCTCTGGTCAGCACTGCATTCTGGGCTGTTAAAACAAAACAAGTTGGCCTGGGGTTGGCAGGCTCCATACCTGGTTCCATGCGGCTCCCCAGAAACAGCAACGCGTCCTTCGGCAGAGTCAGCTGCTAGGCTGAGGAACCGCGACGAGGCCTCTAAGTGCTGCCCTTGAACTGCCCCAAGCGCCAGCTCGGCAGCTCCCATTGGCTGGGAACCACGGCCAATGGGAGCTCCCGGGGTGGTGCCTGTGGGCAGAGGCAGACCCTCCTGGCTGTGCCAACCCCTAGGGGTCACCACTTATGGGGAGCCACCAGAGGGGAGCGCTGCCTGGAGCCTGCATCCCGAAATCCCTCCCACACCCCAACCCCCTCCTGCACTCTGAACCCCTCGGCTCCAGCCCCCCCCACCCCCTCTGCTCTCAACA